AAGCCATCCATCACTTCCAGGGATGCCCCCCGTCCTGGCCAGCTCTGTGAGCCCAGCCACGCTGCGCTGGTGCTGGTGCTGTCGGCCTCCGTGACAAGCTGACCTTTTGTATGAATAGGTCGTCCTCCTGCTGAGAGGCACTGCGGTAACTTCTGGGGCTTCTGCTCTTTGGAAAGCCACATCTATTACCCTCTTGGTAGGATCCTACACATGTGATTAAACATCACGGCTCTTCAGCTGTGGATTCCAGAGCGTCCCAAACAAGTGTGCTGCTCTCTGCAAAGTGGAGACTAACAACAACTTTGCAGAAGAAAGTTCTATCACATACATTACATGGTATTAAGTGCATTTAAATAACTCCTTTTTTCTAAAGGAGCAACATAAATACAAACAAGATTGAAAATATCTGTCTTAAAATTGGAGAGCAGTACCACTGGATTAAAAAAGAGGAGCAAACAGTACAATAAAGCCATTCATCTCAGTCAGTTTAAAAGTGGTACTGCTCCTGTCAAGTGTGGATTCCACAAAAGATTTCATGGTCAATTAGGTAAATACAGGTATAAAATGGACTAGTGCTGAAGATCACCGAGTCAATTACTGATAATGTTTAATTTAACTTCCCTGAGTCCCCAAAGTGATTTTTTTCCCCTCATAGGTTTAAAATGCCCAAAGAAAATAAAGTGTCTTCCCACATCACCATAGGAGGGTTTAGGACGCTGTGAATAAAGAAACAATGATGTCCAAACATACATGTCCAGCCCTATGAAAACACAAATTCAAAATATCCACACCTATATAAAAACATGTACAAAAAAAACCCAACTTATAAAACATTTAAATCTGAGCTAATGCTATCAATAATGACAAGCTAATTTTTTTCTTTGCTTGAATTTGTGAAAACCTTTCTTTATTGATCTGAAACTATGCTTTTTATTTCCTCTAGATACTTTACGTGGGAAAAAAAGAGTTTTATTTAAAAATAAAAATTTTGTATTACATTCAGACATAGATACCTTTCTGAATGAAATCACTGCTGTCTTAATCAAGTATTGCTTATACTATTCCCTATGGACACAGGCACATGTTTTTAAATAGTTTTTTCCTTCAAATTGAATTGAAATTTCAGGTGCGCAGTCTGTTTGCATTTGTGAAAGACTGGATTTATATTATAGGAAGCCTGCTGACTGCTATTACATACGCTGGCTTTCTCTACTATCATTTTTGCAAGTCTGTATTAAAACTAGAATAGCATTAAATGAGCCTTATATACTTTAAATATTCAAGAGTTTTATATTCAAAATTTCTTCTGATGCTGTCAAACCAGCGTGCCTGTAGGCAAGGTAAGATCAAGTTAGGCTCTCAAAGGTAGAATTAAATTTTATCAGGGTATCAGTCATAATATACAGTTTGCTTAAAATGCAAATAAAAAGTATATAGATTCAAAGACTAAAGGTTTTCCAGGTACTGCTTAAAAATCCAAGGGACCATTTTTATGGAACAGATTTCCTTTAAATTTACATTTCCATCATTTTAATGAAAACACAAAATAAACAAATTATAATGGACATACTTTTGAGTTCTCATTTTTCATTTTGAATCTATTTCTTTCAAGAAATTCCTTATTGCAGCTGTTGTTTTTAAGGAGAATAAAAAAAAGATGCAGAAACACATTTAGGAAACCATTACCTCAGCCATTTTTGAAAGTTCAGTCCAGTCCTCCCTGCTATAGCTGCACATGATACTGGCAATCAGAATCTGAAAAGAATATATGCGCAATCATTTTAAGCCATGTTACCAGATTTTGTAATATCGTACCTTACTGCGACTCCAGACATGTACTACTACTACCTGTATATGGGAACTACCAGCTATGTTCTACGAGCATGTATAGTGAAATTTAGCTGTATGTTTCACTGGGGATGAGAAAATGTATACAAAGTCATCTATTTTACCCGTATTTTTTAAGTCATGAGGGAAAACCAGCAGGTCTAGTCAAACACGTAGAGGACTTCGCATTCTCTTCATCACACAAGAGAATGTTGAGCTAGAACAAAGGCAATCCTGGACACAGAGCCCACCAGGAAAACTGCCAAACATACTTGTTTCTGAGGTCAGAGGAATTAAGTTATTTACTGTTTATACAATGCCAGAAGTACTTGGGGCTTTTCAGAGGTAGGTAAGACACAGGTGCAAGAGTTTACACTCTGATGCGGCAACATATGAACACAATATTCCAGCTGACTTCCGGAACCCAGGATACACCAAACCCAGCCCCTGGAATCTCATACTATGCAAGTTAAGGACAGCAACAGGCAGCTGGGACTGTTTTGTGTAGAGACGACTGGAAGGAGACTCGCAGGATGTGGGGAAAATCTGGGAGGATCAGGAGAGTGGCACAGGGAACTTCCAGCTTTTGGTTTCCCACGATACACATTTTATTACCTATTCACTGGCCAAGACCCTGGTTCCCCAAGAGCTGTCTCTGTGTATTGCCTTTCCTCCTCACTCCGAGCACCTTTCTGCCTGTAGCTGCTGTTGCCTCTATCATCTTTATTGAGGTTCAAGATTTGGGTAAAATAAGTTCTAATAGGATTCTTTTGGATGGGCAGCTAGATACCCACCTTTTCAGGTGAATACAGTGGTACTTACTGTTAAATGAATGTTAACTACTCCTCCAGCTAATGCCCTGTTTGAGTAACAATGTTAATTTCTATTTAAGACTAAATCAAAATCACTTGTGCTGGACCCATCAAAGATCATCAGGCACTGAAACTCTGAAGTTGATACATTCAAGGTGAGATCAGCAGAGAATTCAGTGCAGGAACTCCTGCACGGAGGACTTCTTAGAAGGATCAGGTTTGAAAGAAAAAAAAAAGCAACAGAGACCTATATTGCAGCAGCTAAAAGTTTAAATCAGAAAAAGAAATCACAGAATTTATGAGCGCACTACCGGCTCAGTCTGTGTTCAAAGGTGACACCACGAGAGGAGAACAGAAAAACATCTAGCCACACTTCTGTTTATTTGGCCCTCTTATGTGAAACATATGAAAGTTTCACATGCAGGTTTGATACACAGGTAGGATGAATTTTGGTTTTAATCTTTTTTGTTTTCCCAACAAGTTTTACTATCAGCATTAATATCTGGAAGAGCTTAATCTGTCACTTCCAGTCAGTATAACACTTCTCTTGAACTTTCCCATAATGCTGAGGCTTAATGTCTCAGTCATGTAAGGCAAAAATACTGAAAAGCATGGTGTAGAAAAATTTTCCAATATACACAATTGTTGGAAACTGTAAACTCCCAAATCATCTCCATAAGAAGGATGAGATATTTAGTATCTTTAGAAGGGAGGGAAACACACTTTAAAAAGGAAGGCAGCTATGGAGAAAATTAGACATGATAATGTTACAATCTATTAATTTCAAAGGACAATACCATTTATCATCATCATCGTCATTTCCATTCTTTCCATTGTTTTGCTCTGATGAATCTCTACCTATTGAGCTACCACCCACCTACCTGCAGACTACCTACCCATCCACCCTTCCGGCTGGTGTTTGCAAGGTGGGAGCCTTTTGAGAAAGAAAGCATTTGATGAAGTGCCTGCCTTGCCTGCAAGTGCCCTTTTGTGTGCACCTCTGGCATAAATAGAAGACTGAGCTTTTCATTAAACACAAACAATCATTACTGGCCATGCTTTTATTTCCCCTCTTGATGAAGGAAAAAACTTTCTCTCCTGTACTATACTTTTTTCTGTTGTAAAAAACGTTATATAGCTCTGTAGGTCAAATGTTTATGAAACAAAATTTGCTTTATGTTCTATCGGAATATTCAAGATGATTTGAGTACTCAGGAAACAAATATGAATATCTTTAAAAAGACTAATAAAACACAAATTGTGAAAAAATAGTTTGAGAAAGTATATATGAGAAAAATTTAGAGTAAGAAACTAGTGAAAATATGCAGTAACTGGAAGTTAGCTAGAAACTATCTTGTCAAATTCGCACTTTTTATAAACTAACTAAAGAAAAAAACTACAAAAAAAACCCAACTCAGACATTGACAACACGATGAGGATTTTCACAGTTGCAGTCACAATCCAAAGTATATCAGAAACCTACACAATTCAGCTTTAAAACAAACCAAATTTTTCAGCAGGGAAAGCTGGAAGTCAACAAGGGCAGCTGACTATATTCACAAGTAGCTGAGTTAGGTTACGTCAAGTGTTATTAATGAAATTTGAAAATTCTGCTGGGAGTGTACAAAAGAGGAGGAACAAGATCTGTGATGTTTCAAAGAGCTGTTAATTAAGACAACATGGTTATTTAATATTGATTAGTTTTAATATTCACATTTAAAATTAAGTACGTACTTTAGACAGAAGCAGTAGTTTACAAGAACAAAAATAAATGAAAGCAAAAAATAAATTTCTGCTGTGACTTTTCACATGAAAACCATGATCTCAGAGGGAATAATGAAAATTTTAAAACAGTAGGGATTTTATTCTCCTTTTTTTCCCCAGTGTTCTCGTATAACTTGAAATTAAACTTAATTCCTAGGTGGAAACAGATCCTCCAGCACTCCATGTTAACAAAACTGTGCTTCCTCAAATTACTGTTTTTCCTCAAAATGCCTCTACAGTCTTTTCATTTGGAGTCAATACCTATTACAAAAAAAAATAATTATTATTGTATGTGGACATTTAGAGGCACTACCTGTGGATGTTTGAGGTTTGAATCTACTCCTAAAATCACATACGAGAATTTATAAAGAAAACATAGAACATTATCTCCTATTAGCTAGAAAGAGAATAGCAAGAGACAAGTAACAATAAGAAGTGATAAAAATCAGAGGTTTTATTGGAAAGTAATAAACAGAAATTGTATCACATTTCAGCCTCTCCATCTCTTCTCACTATTTTAATTTGTTTTTCTTTTACATCTTAGGTGCCTACAATGCCATGTACCACACTACCACCCCTGCAACCTTCATAGCCCCAAACAGCTGGTATCTTGCAGAAGTCCAGCGCATGGCCCAGTCCAGGAGCATCCCCAGAGAGCACATCCTTCCTCTTGACTCCTGAAATTTGCAGTGGCAACTTGACAGGAGTTTAATTACAGTTGTTTGAACCACAAGTGCGAGGCTGCACCACACTTGCCTGGCTTTCAAAAGTAGGCTACTGACAGATCTTACAATAAAGCTGCTGCTAAAGTGTAGTAAGCGGTAAATGAAGGTTGACTAAATTGCAGCTTTGTCAGAGCTTGCCTGCGAAACCATGCGTGATTGAAGCACAGTGGGTTCCCTGGCCCATTCCTTATTCCAGATCAGAAGCAGAGCTGACATATGCTGTCTCCTCCTCTTCTTCATTCAAACTGCTATTTTGTCCATTGTGGACAGACCCTGCCCACTCTGCCCTGCGTCAAGGAGCGCGGTGGCCCTGTAGTCACTGCTCCCTCCCCCATGATCACTGTGACAGATGTCACTAGGCAAGGTCTGTACACCCTGACCTTACACAAGGTGATAGACATATTTCTCCAAATGTCTATAAAGGGACAAACACGTTTGTAACATCAGACGCTGTTCTGTGTGCAGGTTTTTCTTGATCATTCATGGAAAAAGAAGGTTTACAATAAAACTTTACTTTTTTGTTCGAGGGAGGGGAGATAGAAAAGAGAGGGTATATAACATACCATTTAGGACATGATTATAAGATGAATATACTGCAACTAAAGCACCTAGTAAAAAGCCACATTTCACACAATTCTGTAACTAATGCATTAGTAGTTGTTCTACTTAAAAGGACACTGACAAGATACTTCTCGTAATCCTTAAAATATTTTTTCCTCCCTGTTTATAATAATCCTCTGGAAGCTTAAACTAGAATTTATTTCCCTTGTGAATGTTTTTTTTTTCTCTGCCATTATCTCTATGTGGATGTCTCATGAATGCAATAGCATTAAAAGAAATAAAAAGGATGAGGTTCACCACTGTGTATGTTTTCAAGTGATCTTTTCTTCCCTAACACACAGAATTCACTGCAAGAGGTTGCAAAACAAAAGGAAGGAGAGGAAAAAAAACCAAACCTGGGCCCACTTTGGGTCAGACAATCCTGAGAACATCTATTTAAAGCCAGACAGCAGTAAAACTCTAGGTAGACAATTACCATATGTCCTGTACTGCTCTGCAGGGAATAAGGAAGTTTCAGTACACTCAAAAGAGCCTGAAAAATATCTCAGGGGGTTGGATTTAAATGTGAACACTGTCAATTCCTGCAAATTTAAGAAAACTTCCCAATAGACACAATGGAATCACAATCCTCTACCCTCATGCCTGTAATAAACATATTTACTTTGGTCATCTAAGACAGGCCATAGCCCGTGTCTGTTCCTAACCTTATCTTCCAGGTCTGTGCATAATCTCCCTGTGCTTCAGGAAATTCGGCCACCTATATAATTTCTACTTGCTCTTCCCTGTCTCTTCCCTCTCATTGTTGCACCAGGCTTGACGACAGTTTCGCACCAAGTGTCCATAAATGCTCCTTTTAGACACTGCTTCTGGCCTCAGCCTGCCCCCCCTTCTGCTTTCTCAAACACTTGCAAAAATCCCCAGGATTTTATTTTTGATGTGCACAGCCCTTGCAGAAATAAAAAGAGATCCTCAACATCATCTTTAAGAGACCGTTCCCCTGAAAGCGGTAAAATCAAGAGGAGCTTTCAAGAAGGCTGAAGGACTGGTTTTGTAACAGCTACTTGTT